GAGGACTGCAGATAAAATGACTCATATGTTTATTTGTATCTCTCATAATTCTAAACCTAGCTGCCACGGGCAGGAACAAATTTAACTTCAAAAACTTTGCCTAAAAATCAACACTACAAGGAAGGGGAGCGGAGGGAGAATAAAAAGGAAATAACCCATCTATAAAAAAAGATTACATATTAGTTTTACTTCTTACCAGTCACAAATCTTCTTAACTTTCTGTCCGATTTGTTCGCCCCAATAGGATACTAAAAAAACAAACCATTTTGTGGTTTCTCCCTAAAAAACCAAAGAAGTTCAGCTGAAGTTTGTTAACCAACAACTCCACTGTGATAGAATTATAGGGCAAATTAACAAACCTGAGCAATTAGAAAAAGCTGTGTTAGTAGCATTAACCTTCCACCATTTCAGCAAAGATCAGAAAATAAGATTCAACTTTGCCAATGTCTCTCCTTTATTTGGTGTATTTGGAAAAAAAAAAAACACAGAAAAAGTTTTCAGGGAAAACAAAAGATATTTTGCCATCTCAGAATTATCAACAACAAAATCTTAAAAATAAAATGTTACAGATTAGATTTGAAGCAATTCAGAAGTGACCAATTAGGCAGCTGTAATTGCTTACTTACAAAAAGTGAAAGTTCAGAGAAAAAAAAACTTCACAGACAACCAACTGTACTCCAGAGTTTTTTTTTCCCTTAACTACTGAATGAACAAATAAAATGACTACTAAAAGGTACTGCACTGCACAGACCTAGTTAATAAATATCCAAGTAACCACTTATGCCACGTATTTTGAGTGGTAGACAATCATAAAGTCATTAGTATTCCACAATGAATTCTGCACTCATCAAGTCAAACTGTGATTAATTAATTGCCTCTCCTATACATAGGGTGGCATCAAGACCTCTGATTTTAAAGTCCTGTGAATTCAAATGCTTTAAAATCGTTTCCCTTCAATGGCACAGGGAATCATTTACATTCCTTGCACGCAGACCTGAGCAGCAATCCTTCCAAGTCTTACAAAACATACAAACAAAATGAACTGATAGTTAAAGTCTTTACTCACTGTATCTGGATCTTCCAGACACTCATCCAACTCTGCATATGTAAGAATAGTATAGCCTTTACAGACTCTCCACAGCATTTTTTCAAATGCTTCAACTTTTGCTATGTGAACTAACCCAGATATGAACCTATGGAAAAAGAAAACTGTGAATAAGCTGAGATCCATGAGAAAGATTAAAAACTCAGAGTACATCACCCCTCAGGATCACATAGTCACAATAATTTTACATCTGCCATCTCTAGAGAAGGAAGTGTGACTCTGAACAGGAAGTAACTGCTGTATAAAATAGACTCAATTTCTATTTGGAAAACAAGCACACCGTGGGCCTGAGCACACACTAGAACTATATTAGAAATTGTTTCTTTTTGCTCTTCATTTTTTCTTGTTAAGATACCCTCCCATAATTGTGTCATAGAGAGTAGTTTCCATACTCCAATTTAAAGGCAAGTAGGTGAGACCACAAATAATGTTACAACTGACACTGCCAGGGGATTAAAGCAGTGTGTTCATCCTAAAAACCCACGAGTTTGAACAGCAGAAGAAAGCAAAGCATTTAGAGATCTTCCTCAACACACATCCTTAGTGTGAGGGGAGTTTTGTGACAGGTTTTTGGTGCTGTCCTACTTACCTCTTCAAATAACCCAATCTTGTTATAAAGGTACATTTGGTTCAGACTCCTACCCCCTCTTAAACTGTTTGGCTCATCTAGAGCCAAATCACTAGTCACACTACGTTCCACCTTTGAGGAAAACAGCCCATTATTTGCAGCAGCTCATCAAGCAGTTTTGAAACAGCACAGACTGACACCCTCCCATACACAGACTGAACAATACCTACCCCAGCTTGGCACCCAGTCTGTGCATACAGTTGTAATCCACTAATGGCTCGTTTTCCACAGATGGAAATTCTTCATAATTTGCATGTAAATGGGCTTCATACTAGCAAATAAAAGAAAGATCATTCTGAGCTTTCAGGAAAAAAGAAATTTTTTTCATTCATTTATTCTAAAACAAAGTAAAGCTAAGTAAATAAATTATTTCAAAAAAACCAAAGCCCTTTCCTATGTTCAATTCTACCTGAAAGGAGGTTGGAGTGAGGTGGGTGTTGTCTCTTTTCCCAGGTTGCTAACAAAGGACAAGAGGCAGTGGGCTCAAGTTGCACCAGGGTTGGTTTAGATTGGATATTAGGAAGAATTTCTTCACTGACAGAGTGGTGAGACACTGGCTCAGACTGCCCAGGGAGATGGTGGAGTCACCATCCCTGGAGGGGTTCAAAAAATGTGTAGATGGGGCACTTCAATACATGGTTTAGTGGTCATGGTTGGACTTGATGATCTTAGAGGTCTTCTCCTACCTCAATGAGCCTATGATTCAAAGATCTTGGGACGTCAAGTGTGCTGCTCTTAGCAACCTTAGTCAGTGTTGCAAAGGCTACAGGGTAAATTTCTTAGCACAATTCATGCCTCAAAAGAACACAACTACGCTTTGGTTTTCAGCTGGTATCAGCAGTAACATTCAAACAATTCAAAGCTCCTCCAAGTCTGAACCTGGAAGCAAGTCCAGGGCAGCGCTTTGCTACGTACAGGCAGCACAAGAGCTGGCCTGCCAGGCTCTGCAGGTACCACGCCATGCACAGCACCCCAGAGCTGCTGCAGAGCCCCACACAGAGCTAGAACCACCAGGAGCATGCAAGAGGCACCCCGTGTGACAGGCAGGGACACTGTGTGGCACCCTGTGACACGCAGTCCTCGCCAGGCAGCAGCAGTACCTCGGCTGTCCTCCTGACGAATCTCTGCGTGACCTCCAACATGCACGTGTATTCTGTCAGCTCAAGCAGGTTTTTCCTCAGCTTTTCTTTGTTTTTAGTCACTTCCCTCAATTCTGTCTCCAGCTTCTGCAACTGTTCCTAAGACACAGAGAAAAAATGACATAGAATCAGTCACACAGTTCTGGGAATCAGGGGAGGATGAATTTTAAGCGCATGTTAATTTGCTGCAACAATGGGGGTTTCCTCATTTCCTAATTAACTTAGGCTCCACAGGTTTTATTCCTCAGTCTATCAAAGATTGCTTTGTACTAAGTACACTCGATCCTCCACTGGCATCTGTTAAGCCTGCTGTTCTGACCCTGATTTGTGTCCCAGCTAAGTAATGGAGTCTTGGAATCAAAACTTAAGACAGTCCAGGGTGCCACTTATCAATTCTATTCAGAGTGACAGCAAACCAGAATGTCATCCAAAATTATATCTGCATTTTACAAGCTTCTATTTCTAGCATAATATCAGAAAAAATAGCACCATGTTCACGATGCAACCAGCACTGAAACCTGCAGAGATTGAGGCATATAAAACTCCCTCACACTCTGGAAATTTTGGATGCACAAAAAGAGCCTTAGGTAAGCCCCAAAGCAATAAACGAGGCCGACAGACTACACCTACAAAGAACAATTGGCCTGGAACAGTGTAATATGGCAATCCATCAACATAAAACAGAGGACTGCAAACCCCACAGGTCAGCTTTGACCCTTTCACAGGAAGCTTGTGTTGATAACATATCCTTGCTGGCAGTCTTTGAAAGTAACACTGGGAGAAAGAAAAAAAAGCTGGACAAAAATGAAAGCAAATGCTTCTGCTCCTCCTGCCACACCCCTGTAACTTAATACACAGTTATTAACTGTAGCAAGTAATTAAGTTTGAATTAAAGTTCCAAGATCCAGAGCTACACTTTTGGCATTTGTTGTGTGGAAAAGTTACCTGGATTTCTAAAATGTGTTTCAGCAAGGGGGCAGGAGGAGCAACATCTCCTTCAGGAAGTGGAATATCCGCCTTTTTAATTTCTTGTACTAAATACCCTGGAGTGAGGAGAAGAAAAACAGCATCAGAAAGGACACAGTGTTTCCTTATACTTCCCAGAATGCTGCACAGCTGACCTTCAGCTGTTACTGATGGTGCTGACCCCACTGCAGCATCAGGCCCTAGCTATTGTACCCACTCATTTTCACAAAAACACACATACTAGAGGCTTCCAAAAAAGGGACTAGCAATAAGTACACAGAACGTGTCTGTCTTGGAAGCTTCCAGAAGTAAGCCATCCTCAGGGGCCTCTGACTGATACCTTCTAACCACAAGTACTTGTTAAGAAGCTTTTAACATTTCCTACTATCTGGTTGCTGCTACAAGATACCACTTTCTGCTAATTGTGCCATCTGCCAAAAACTGACGTTCTGCTCAGTGACCCACATCTGGAGTAAAAAGTGTTCAAACAAGGCACCTTAAGCAACCTTGACAACAAATGCAGCTCAGGCTGGGCAGGGAAATTGCTGAAATAGCTGCTGGGATGGTTTGGCATGACCAGCACATGCCTCTGATGACAGATTCCAATCAAAGAGCCCTTTAACAGTAACTCTTCCTAAGGATTCATTGAAGAAATCTGTATCTTGGTTGCAATGCTCTGCATACCCTCCCACATCCATTAACTACCACGTGAATGCAATTAATAACTTGAGATATTTCAGAGGGTGCTTGGAAGCTCAACAGTATTGGGTTACATAGCATGAAAAAGAGAGTTTGTCTTTGTAGTCAAGGAAGTATCCCAAGTAGAGCTTCCATTTTCCTAGCAGAGTTTTAAACAGTCAATACCAGATCAAGACAAATTAAGGGATATCTCTGTACTTTCCAACCCAATTCAGTGCCACAGTCAAGTCGTCTCCAGCTCAAAAAAATCTACACAAAGGCTCTACATGTATGAGTATAGGATATTTTTCATATGTATGAAAGTCCTTTGAGATTCTAGAGCATTCAGATCATACAAGACTGGGAAGATTAAACAACCCTGTAGCTGAAACCTTCACTATAGTTCCACTCCAGTGGTGTAAAGGTTTAATAATGCCACAAACAAGAAAGGGCAGATGTGAAAATAAAGCTTACCAAGTATTCTTTCCATTTCCTCACACTTCTTTACTTCATTCACAAATTTTCTCTGAAATACACTTACATTTGGGTTGAGCTGAAGAAGGAAAAAATGCTTATTAGGCATTTAAAACAGCAGCTACTGAAAAAAAACAATTATTTCCATGACTTCATGGAGAATTTTGTGTGTATTCTTTTCTACAAAGTGCTTTGCAGCTAGGAAGATATAAAAATGTAAAAGGATTAAGAAGTCTTCAAATAGCAAGGTTTTATTAAAGAAGAACTGTTGATGCCTTTTGCTAGTTTTAATCAAATAAAATAACTAGATCTACTAGAGAAACCATTCCTGACCTAATTTCTACAGTTTTAAAATACCACTGAAAAACTTCAAATTAACAAACCTTTCTATAAGCAAAGTTGTGTGATGGATTTCCACAGAATCTGTTTGAAATCTTAAGTTTCAAAAGAATCTTTGATGTCCATCCCTGTATTATGAATGTGCCATGTCTCTGACTACTTATTCAGCTTTTAAATCAGACCCACTAACATGGTATTTCTGGAATAAATGGTATGTCAGATAACCTGGAATGCCATCAATGTGTTAAACATATCAACTGTGTAATTATTCTTACAGATTTGTCTCCTCCTACCTGCCATATTTACTAACTAGCTGTTAATTTAAGCTCTCCCAGCTTTCCTTGCAAAGATTTTGCAACCTACGTTTGTGAAGAATACACAGTAGAGATTCCAAAGTCTCAGTCAGCAAGCAAATATCATATAATTACATCAAGACAATGCAGAACCAAGGTTAATTATTGCCCGACCCAATTTTATGTTAGTCAGGCACATAGTTTCCTTCAAGGTGAACTGCTCCTCCAGGAGCAGCCGTGCTTTACAAACCAGCACTCTGTCATGTTGAAGAAACAAACCTACAGAGATGCTGAGATGTTTCTATCAGTCTGTCAGTGGGGTGGGCACTTCTATTACCTGTGCACGTACACACAGATGAAGCCAGTGTGGCTTCAGGTGAGTAATAGGCTCCCCACGGGATCTTACTGAAAATAAACCCAAACCTTAAGTTTAAGCTAATTTTGTGACAGAGGTAGTATATAGCCATCCCAAACCACAGCCCCACAGAGTCTCAGGGAGGCTGGAGCTCCACACCAGCCTCCCATCGCCCAAGCTCACTTTCACACCAACGTGATGTACGCTTGTTATACAGACATAAGATCGGCCCGGACGATCCCTGAGGTCCCTTCCAGGCTGGTGCCCTGTAAAGCCCCTGCAAGCCAGCGCCGGGGCAGCACGGGACTAAACGCGGCCCCGGTCTCTCTCACACCTTCCCGCGGCAGCTCCTCCGCCCGGCCTTCCCCGCGTCGCCCACCCGCGGTCGTTCTCCCTCCCCCGTCCTCCCAGGCAGCGCTG